AAATGTTGTTCCTTTGGCTATAATCTTCTAGCCTGATTCATCAGCCGGTTTCACTTCGTAGAAACCATCTGACCTCGCAGTGTTAGAATTCGTTCGCTTGACGGTAGGCGAGTACCTTTTTTTTTTCATTTAACTAATCGCTGCTATTTGGCTCATGACTATGACCACCGGAAGGACGCCACAGAGAAGACCAAGGACACGCTGGAGGGACTATGTATCTCAGCTGGCCTGGGAACCCCTTGGAGTCCCCCTGGAGGAGCTGGGGGACATGTCTGGGGTGAAGGAAGTCTGGGAGTCCCTGCTTAGACTGCTGTCCCCGTGACCCAGCCCCGGATAAGTGGAAGAAAATGGATGGATGGGCTACTATTTCGTCGTGATGCATGTAAAGCATCTCTAACAGGACTAACTTGTATATTAAGCTTTTCCCAAATCCCATAGGAAGAAGGATTTCATCCCCTTGATGAAATTCACCAAACATTTTCTTTGTTCCAGCTTTAAATCCTCGATCTTGGGAATCGTCACCAACACTGAATAATATGTCTCTTCACTGATTGGCTGGTGCCCGAACTCGCACTTCCAGGGTTTTTGAGAACAATCTAGTGTATTCTGATTCCTGACCTAGTTCTGGAGAGAAATTAAATTGAGTGAAGGCACTAGGTGGCACCAGCCTGACAATTAATCTTCCACAGTATGGCATAAAATCTTTGGATGGTTGGAAAGTACCTTTAAGGATATCACCTAAGTATTTTGAAAGGCGTTTAATTGTGTGATAACTTTGTAGAAGATGATGCATGAACATTATTTTTGTCCATTCAGGTTAAAAAAAACTCAGACTATTCCAGACAATTGCTGATTGGTCCCTACTTCCTAATCAGAAACACGTGATTGTAATCAGGATCAGTTCTGTGTCATGTCATATGGTACTTGAAATTGCAGTGCCCAGAGGCAGCATGGAGTTTGCAAATGTACCAAGTTTGCACTACAATGACCAAAAAGTACTTAGAACACAAAAGCTTGACTTAGCATTTAGTTTCATTTTAATCCTGATCTGACAGTTTGACCAGAATAGATAGTTAAAGGTATTTCTGTTTCATCAGTATTTATAGAGCTGCACAATATATTGCAACCGAATCTAAATAGCGATTTGAGTTCTTAAGCACTTCTCAAATCTCAAACGCTGCAATTGGATAGTAGAAAGTCCTCTGCAAAGAACACAATATCCTGTCTTGTACCAGTGGTTTAGAGCTCTACAAACATGTTCTGAAATGCAGGGGATTCTTGTTTTAGTTTAGCACTTAATATTTCAATCTTCTTTCAAATGTAAAAAAAAGAAATAATACATTATTTCAGTTATATCAGTTTAACACTATAAAAAGATGATAAAAATAATAATAATGATAATAGTACCAAGTAGGGCTGGGTATCATTAAGAAGTTGCCGATACGATACCTCGATACATAGGCCACAATACGATACATGTCTCAATACAGTGCACTTTTGGTTCAATACGATACATTTCAAATCAATTCGATACAGTTCAATATAAAATAAAGTCTAAATCATGGCTGTGATACTAAAAGTCTTTGTTAAACCACTTCTTGTGCAAAATTCATATGAAACACAAACATTTTAATCATCAAAATGTGATGTGAAAATGTTAAATGTGTCACATAAACAGGTTACTTTTAAAATGTATTTCTCTATAGATTACAAATTATATACCCCAAAATGTAGTTTGTAACGTGTATCCATTAAATTACTTAAAGTGAGTAACGTAATCTGAATACTTGGGATTACTTGATATTGTCATGCTTTTTAAAACTACATGAATGTAGCGACCACATCCACGTCCCCTCATGTCTCAGGTCACTATAGGACAGTAGTGCAGATTTCTTTTTGCCCGTGCACTACTGGCTCTGTTCTACTGGCTCCTCGACCTCGTCCATTGTGTGACTGATGCCACCATCATTAACAGGACATTTATGTTGCTCTTACTGCGCATGTTCTGTTTGGGTTTCCAGCAATGAGTGGAATTACTGAAATAAAAAAGAACAAAAAAAAGGCATATAACCCAAAATGTGAAAACAGGAAAATGTGTAATCCATTTATTTCAGCAAAGTAACTGTAATCCAATTACCTCTCACTGAAACAGTAACTGTAACCAAATACAGTTACTTATAATTTGTACTCTGATTATGTAACACTGGTACAGTTTTTTTCAAGTTCAATTTCCTAAGTGGAGTTAGATTCTCTTACTGGTGTTGCAGTGGGATTTAGCCTCTGCACATTTACCAAACACACATCGTGACAAACACAGATGGATTTGTGCACTTTTATTAGGCAAACTTCAGCCACATGTTGCGGTAGGCTTGCTCTGTGCTGTAGGCATCCTCTGTGACAACACTGTAACATACATTTAGATGAGTTTTTGCTTTGCATTTCGCAAGCCCTTCTAATCAGAGCATTGTGGAAGGAGCCTGTGCGCGCTGTACACGAGGAGGAGCAAGAGTGTGAAAAGGTGAGGAGCGGTGTGCCGACCTGAGGCAGGTGGATAGGTAGAATGTTTTAAAAAGTTTAACCTGCCCTGTGATACACGCTGGTGCACAAGGGCACACGCTGTTGCGGACAAGCCACGCGCAGGGAGCGTGTGTGTTTGTAATGTGCCACACAGTATCCACGGGTTTCAAATGAGCGCACAGGCTATAGAGAGACGCTCCCACACGCTCCCGCAAGCTTCTGATTACTGGTGTAATCCATTACTCTCCAACACTGCACATAAATAAGTTTGCTTTCTCTGAACAAACAACCAAACTGTAACTGTAACAAAATAATTTAGTAAAATATTTCCAAAAAATACTGGATATTGCAGCCCACAATATTCGATGACGTATCATCAAATTAAACAATATGATATATTAATATTTAGATATTTTTCACACCGCTATCTTGGATAAAGACAAGGAATTCTAGTCAAATTGGTCCCAAGTGATTTCTTTCAGTACTAAATTTGGAATTTGTACTTACTTGATTGAGTATCTTGTTTTGATTTTAGTTTTGGCATTATAATATAATAATGATAGGAAATGAACACTGCTGACCCTGCCTATGCGTCATGCACCTGTCCATGACTCATTCACCTGTAGGAATCATGTGCCGTACTGAAACACTCTGAATCATCAGCCGTATAACACATTCAAGTCACGTTACCTGCTGTTTATCCTGTTCACATGCTGCACTGTACACAATCATCGAGACACTTACTGCAATCGTGCCGTAGCCTTACATTTCATATTTTACTGTAGCCCTCTTGAACACTTTTATGTTAAAGTCAAATTTAAAGAGGGGGTATTACGCGCAGTTGATTTTTCTGAGCTTTCTATCATGTTGTAGTAGTGTTCCCTCATCAAAAACATGCCTGAAGAGATTTTCAATGTCATCCATGCACGTTTGAGTAATTTAGCGATCTCTCCTGGGCCCTATTCAAACCCTCCCTTAGTTGTAAGATTCTGCAAGCTCAGCCCACAAGCCTACGTCATCCGTGCTCCCACACCATTTTAATAAATATACAAAAGCGCAGTACAAATTAATACATTACAACTTCACAAACCCGATGTGATGTGCAGGAGTTTCATTAAATCCAAATGGAAAAATTAACCGAACCGTGACCTCAAAACTGAGGTACGTACTGAAATGTGATTTTTGTGTACCGTTAAACCCCTTATGGATACATCATTGCTCTGCCTAGAATGTTCCACAGTATGACTTTGAACAGCTCTATCTTAAGGTGGTTTTGCTGTTCAGTAATTCCTAGAAAAGCAGGCACTCTGACTGTCAGTGGGGTCACCTCTCCAAAGATCTGACCTGTAACTTGGTGTGATTTGGTCTCCATGAAGATAGAAAGGTTTAACATCATACTGTGAAACATTTCAGACAAAGCAATAACATCTCCACAGAGAAAAGCAACTGAAGGAGCCTCCAACATAAATATACACAATGCACCTTTAAGGCTTTTACATTTTTTGGACACCTGGATCTTGGTGTTCCCAATTGTACAACTAGTCCAGCAAAAGTGGGCTACAAAGCAAAAAAGATTATTTCATGGTTAAAGCAAAAAAAAAAAAAAAATTAAAAAAATTAAAAAAGCAATTTAGGATAATAAAGGATAAATTTGTCGATCTTTATCTATCTGTCACATTTTACAAACAAAGCAGTTTCCAAAGTGCTGCACAGAGATCATAAAATGAAGACAACAAAAGGATAAATTGCTGAAAGTTTGATCATACCAGTGCTAAAATTTTTTAAAATAAAACCAGCAATAAATCAAATACAAGTACCGTATTTTCCGGACTATTAGACACGCTCTTAAGCCTCTAACCCCATCAAAAAACGACCGTGCACCCCACAATCCAGAGCGCCCTATACACAAATCCACTCAGGTGTCCCAACACGACTTCACCGAAAAACACCCACAGCCACACTCATCACGACGAGGAACGGAACGAAGGAACGAACCGAAAAAGCGAGTGCAATGTGCCACTTCTAGACATAACTGAACAACTGAGTCACTGCGAACACGCCGACAATCCAGCGGTCCCAGACAGCACCCTCCCTACACGCCACAACTGAACAAAGCCCAGAGTCACCGTGAACACCACAAACAAAGTCCCACTGACCCATCCAACTCCAAAGTCCGGTGTGATTTATTTGTGAAAAAAGTTCGAAAATAGACCATTTAATGACAGTGCGTCTTATAATCCAGAGCGCCTAATAGCCTGGAAAATGCAGTAAAACCCTTAAAGTAAAAAGTAAAAAAATAAAAAGTAACACTCTGAAGGCGGAGTGAGCAAAGGAATAGCATCGAAAACAAAGTGAAATTTGTTGTTAACATGTCAACACATTGTTTTTGGCAAATGTATGTTCTGTATTTGCAATTAATAGTTTTAGTTTAGCATACTTTTGACAGCTCTATATCTCACCTTCTTTCTCCTTCTCTTTTGCAGTTGAATGTCTGGGATGGAAAACAAATAAAGGTGAAATAGTTGCAGGATGAAAACATGGCCGCACCCCTTCTTGCACCCCCAGGACCTGACAGTTTTAAATACTTCACTCCGGAGTCGCTCGCTAACATCGAAAAGCGCATCCAAGAAGAGAAGAACAAGAAGCCGCCCAAGCCCAGGTCCGACAGCAGCCACCGCGACACTTCTGACGACAATGAGGCCAAACCCAACAGTGACCTGGAGGCGGGGAAGAGCCTGCCCTTCATCTATGGAGATATTCCGGACGGGATGGTGGCCACGCCGCTGGAGGACCTGGATCCATTTTATATGAACAAAAAAGTAAGTCCCAATGAATGATAGTTGATATAGTAATTAAATGGTGACAGGCCTTGACCAAACGACATGCATGTGATGAACAGTGCAGTAGATGATGTGGTACAATGAAGAGGTATGTTAGAAAAGTGTTTCCCAAACTTTTTTTCTGGAGACCCACATTTTAAAAGTCACAAATCTTCACAAACAAGTCAGCAGACATTATTCATAAATCACAATATAAATTTGTGTCCATTATTGAACATTAATGAAGATGTTTTGTTGTTGACTGAGTGATCGTGTCTCTCTAAACAATAGTATTACAGTATTTTTCAGAATATAAGGCGCACCAGAGTATAAGGCGCAATATCAATAATGTTAAATTCTCTCTTTTATTTTCATACATAAGGTGCACCGGATTATAAAGCGCATTAAGAGAAACAAACAGACGACACTTGAGACTTGAGACTTTTTTATTTCCTATGAGGAAGACTCAAATATACATTGAGTAATAATGTGTTTAATGCAGGTTTACGCACATTTGTTTACATTTTACAGAAACGAAACTTAAAACAACATGGCTCATTTGCATAAACTATCAACACTTAAAAAACAGCTTACTCCTTGTGCGATGATGCGGTTCAGCTTCTGTCGGACTAAAGAACACAACTCAATGGAATATGTGTGAAAATTGGTTTGAGGCCAGTAAGCACAAACAGAATTAACATACAAGGCACCGGATTATAAGGTGCACTGTTGATTTTAAATGCGCCTCATAGTCCGAAAAATACAGTACTCAAGTTTTAAACAAGGAAACAGTAATCAGTGTTTCCTGCAGAAAATTGGTTAGGCAAGGCGGTGCTGCTGAAAAAGTGAGGAGCAGGGGGTGATGTATGTTTGTGTATTACAAAGCTACATGCAGATCGTGACAAGGCGGTACATGGCCATACCAGCTTTTGTGGTCATACTGGCTTGTCAAAGCCTGATCCCGTCAGATCTCAAAAGCTCAGCAGGGCCTGGTCTGGTTAGGACTTGGATGGAGACCACTGGGAATTCCAGGTGACACAATGCGGCTCCAGTGGTAAAAAAAAATGTTGTTGTGTCCTTAGGCAAGACACTTCACCCACATTGCCTAGTATGAAAGTGGTGTGAGCGTAAAGGGTGAAGTATAGTTCTGTGTCGACTCAATGCGCACTGCTGCCGTCGCCTTGTCGCCGTCATTTTTGATTTATGGATCTGCGTCGAGGTCTGTGCACCATGAAGTAATTCACCACCAAAACGCTAGAGGGTGACAATATCTGTCCATTCATATATACGGTCTGTGTGTATGACCCGCAGACGTATAATCTCTGAAAAGTTTAACATTAAACATCTCTAACAAGATAAAAGCACAGAACAGATTCACCGTTAGTACAATATTCCTCTGTCACAGAAAGAACGCTCGTATTCCGCTGAGTCGTGTCCTTTTTAAGTCTGAGAGAAGCTGACTGCGTACCAGGAGCGAGCTGTTTTATGAGCGCTTTGTTTATGCAAATTAGTCATGCGGTTTTAAGTTTCGTTTCTGTGAAATGTAAACACATATGCGCAAAGCTGCACTAAACACATTATTTCTTAATATATACTGAAAGAAAGAAAAGCCCACAGGAAATGTATACAGAAAATTTCAGAGGTGTATGTCTATCGACACAGAGGCTCCTCGTAGGGGGTATGCGTTGACGCAAACTCTCTGCATCGCAGACGATTTGACGCTGGACCGTAAATTGGCCTTAAGTGTTGGTGGTGGTCAGAGGGGCTGCTGGCGCAGATTGGCAGCCTCACTTCCGTCATTCTGCCCCAGGGCAGCTGTGGCTACAGAGGTAGTTTACCACCATTGAGTGTCGCGTGAATGAATAATGAGTTGTAAAGCACTTTGGGTATCTTGAAAGGCTCTATATAAATGCAATGATTAATTAAAAGGCGACCCAAAAAAATCTCTTGCGACCCACCTGAGGTTGCGATCCAGTCTTTGGGAATCAATGTGTTAGAGGTGCAACATTTAAACTGCAGTTTGAATTGTCACAATGGGCAAATTCTTAGGTTACAATGATTCAAGTATCAGAATTTCCTCTGCGTACAACAGGTCCTATCATTTTGTGTATGAAAAAAAAAAAAAAGAAACCTTTTACATGTTCTGAAATACATGGGATTCCTGAATTCATTCATCCATATCATTTCATATTTCAGTGTTCTCCCCAGTGTGAGTGCTCCTTGGCTGTGTTTAAAATATGACCTATGAACTTTATATCAATTCAAAACTTAAATCACAAATTGAATCAGAAAATGAACAATTTGATGTGTTTCAAAAATTGTGCAGCCCAAATTTGAGACAATGTATCAGAGGATTAATCATATTTTAGCATCTAGACAAAAATGAACACTTCACCTTTTCTCTTGTCAAGTATTCATTTTTCATTTGTACTTCTTGTCAGGGATATCCACCGGCATCTTGCTCTCATTACATGATATATTAGTATTCATTGATTTTAACTGGACTCTGCAAAAACCCCACTGAAATATAATAAGAATGGACATGGTGATGACTCTGGACAGACAAGTGAATGCAACTTTAAAAAGAAAAAATATATATAATCATTTTCCGGAGCCTTTTGAGATCTTGTCCTTATATTTTCAGCTCAGATTTGATTAGTGGATTTAAAGTTTATAGATATCTCCTTCATAAACTGTGAATCGTCCATAGTTATATTACAGGCCCTTGCCCTCCTTCAAAGATGATGACATCACACTCCATCATGAATGCCCCTCTCGTCCTGTACACTGTGTGAATGATCTGGGAGTGTGTACGTCTCGTGTGTAGAGCTGAACATTAAACTATCCACATGAAATAGAAATTTGAGTGGATGCAATTATCAAATCACAAAGACTGCACAAACTACAAAATGTCCTGTCTCATTCTGCATAAAAACTGCTAAACCTGTAGTTTAGATCTGTGCAAAAGTGTTCGGAAATGTGACTCTTGGATTAGTTTGTCAGTTCATGTTTCAGTTTCGGAGAATCCTCTTTTTTAAACATAAATCACAAATGTAATCATAATGTTTGTGAGAAAAATCACAATTCAGCAATTCCCCACACAGAGTCCTCCCTCTGTGTCTCTGTGTCTGAGTGTCTCTGTGTCTCTATGTCTCAGCGTCTGTATGGCTCTTTGCCTCTGTGTCTCTGTGTCTTTGGGTCTCTGCATCTGTATGTCTCTTTGTCCCTGGGTCTGTGAGTCCCTGTGTCTGTATGTCTCTTGTCTCTGCGTCTGTATGTCTCTTTGCCTCTGTATCTGTGTCTCTTTTTCTCTGCGTCTGTATGCCTCTGTGTCTGTATGTCTCTGCGTCTGTATGTCTCTTTGTCTCTGGATCTGCATCAGTATGTCTCTGTGTCTGTGTGTCTCTGCATCTGTCTGTCTCTTTGCCTCTGTGTCTGTGAATCTGTATGTCCCTGTGTCTGTATGTCTCTTTGTCTCTGCATCTGTGTGTCTCTCTGTCTCCCGCGTATGTGTGTCTCTCTATCTCTGCATCTGCGCGTCTCTCTGTCTCTGTCTCTGCATGTCTCTCTGTCTCTGCGTCTGTGTGTCTCTCTGTCTCTGTCTCTGTGTCTCTCTGTCTCTGCGTCTGTGTGTCTCTCTGTCTCTGCGTGTCTCTCTGTCTCTGTCTCTGCATGTCTCTCTGTCTCTGCGTGTCTCTCTGTCTCTGTCTCTGCATGCCTCTCTGTCTCTGCGTCTGTGTGTCTCTCTGTCTCTGTGTGTCTCTCTGTCTCTGCGTGTCTCTCTGTCTCTGCGTCTGTGTGTCTCTCTGTCTCTGCGTGTCTCTCTGTCTCTGCGTCTGTGTGTCTCTGTGTCTCTCTGCGTGTCTCTCTGTCTCTGCGTCTGTATGTCTCTGTGTCTCTTTGTCTCTGCGTGTCTCTCTGTCTCTGCGTCTGTATGTCTCTGTGTCTCTTTGTCTCTGCGTGTCTCTCTGTCTCTGCGTCTGTATGTCTCTGTGTCTCTTTGTCTCTGTGTGTCCTGTGAAAGTGCCTCTGGTCCAGCTCGGCTCAGCACAGATCAGGTGAACGTCTTTGTGGTGTATTGATCGACAGTGGGACAGAGCACAGGAGGGACATCTGTGTCATTATACTGCACTTCCTCACCTCCGCTGACATCACACACTCTCACACACACTCACACACACACTCACACTCACACACACTCACATACACCACAACCATCACATCATCTCACATTTATACATCACTTAGTGTTGGTGCAGTTAGGCCTGTCACAATAACGAATGTCAATATATCTCCACAGGTAAATATTGCGATAAATGATAATACTGAAACTGCTTTATCACAAAAAGGGTACAAAACCCATTACATAACAAAATCTGAGAACAAAAAAGCTGTTTTTGACTTAACAGTCTGTCTATGTTTAAGCAGCATATACCCTAAACGTTTAAGTATTCTATAAGGTCAATTTTGTACAAATTGTCTATCTTTAAGTAGTACATACCTTAAAGCAGTCATGTCCAAACTATGGCCTGTGGTCCAAATGTGGCCCTCAGACAAATTTTTCTTGGCCCTCAGGCTTCCACGTGAATTTGCCCACATTACCTTGCATCAATTAAAAATGAACTTTTTACTGCAAGTTTTTTGAAAAATCTAATATTTTATATTTAGTGTCTGGTTTTATGATCTTAGCATGAATAAAGACTGATGGCTCATTCTAAAGTGTTAAACATGCACATATTTCAATTATTCACTGTATTGAGCACCAGTCTACGGCCCTCGATCGGCCCTCTGCTTCGTCTGTGTTTAGATATGTGGCCCTTGATGAAAAAAGTTTGGACACCCCTGCTCTAAAGGTTAAAGTAGTTTGTAATTAACATTTTTCATCTTTTTCAACAAAACATAACTAGTACACAAAACTTCAAACTTTTTAGTGGCTTCAATACAAAATGTTTAACTGTTTACTACAACCTTTTTTTTTTCTACCAATACTGACTCAGATT